CTATGATTAATGGTAATGATGATGGGTGGACATTGAGTAGAGTACATTTGTTTATTACGTGGTTTCTTACCCACTGATTAAAATTGAGACAAATACATGAATGAGATGAAGGATGATAAAGTAACTTGGAGAAAACCGAAACAGGTGGGTTTCGAGTGGGTTCTGTCACGATGCAACCTGTCGCTTTGCCATCATACAGTCTTTTTGTCAACCGGCTTTTGCCACTTGATTTTGACACCCGTTCTTTTGTAACACAGCCTTTTGCCTCCCAGACATTTTCCTCGTAGCATGCTGCATTTTGTCACCATAGTCTCATTGCCACCGATTTTACCACTAGGACTTTTCCAACCAGGATGTTCTCACCCTATGAAATTTGGCAACGATAAGTTTTTTGTTTATTTTTTTTTTTTTTGTTTTTTTGTTTTTTGTTCTGTTTTTTTTTTTTTTGGTTTTTTTTTTGTTTTTTTTTTTTTTTGCCACCTTGACCCTTTTTTGATTTACAAACAAATTGCTTTTACCTGATAAACAAGTTAGGTCAGGGTAGGTTGCGACCCCGGGTCTTTCATTTGAAATAGGCCCATGCCATTTTTTTGTGTCTGACACCATGTAACTAAATAAATAAATAAAAAGAAAAGATGTTTGCATCGTTTAAGTAGCTTTCTATGCACGATCTATTATTGGTTGAGTGTAAAAGTTTACCGTCGCATATAATCCGCTTTTAATGTCTAACCGAGTGTAGACGTTGCCAAGACTCACGGTGTATTGTGCTACTATATTAATAACGTTAATAGACGCGGTAATTTACAGATTCATATGAATAAGCGATATTTTCTGAGATTTGGACGTAGGCATAAAACCAAAATGACGACTTTTGACAGAAATGTTTTTACGCATGCGCTCTCTATGAAATACCAGACTGCACTAAGACGCTAACTGATAACCAAAAACAAAAATAAAAAAACCGTAGTGAAAGACTATATCAATACCGTTATCTTGATATTGTGCGTTGGCCTACTAATTTAATGTTACTTCTATTGTCACTATTATTTTAGTTCTACCAGCAAACGTGCGATAATGAGGCAATGCGCGATGTATCATAGTCAATCAAAATCAATGAATGCTCACGTGATGACTTGGAAATGCCACTCTAACAAGTTTATTCTATTCATTCGATTCATTCAATCTTTAGAATATGTTTATTGTACGAGTGACAATTACACGCTTCTTTGCCTGAAAACCTTCTTCACAGTGATGCTCTAATCACAACTGCACAATCCAATGCGCATTTTCACTCAAAAACATAATTTATACCCATCATATTTTAGTCTGAATTATTTTCAAAATAAATGCGTCTTATATTTCCATTAGCATCGCCTGTCAGAAGTGACAATAAATGGTATTGTCATCTGAAATTTTCCAATTTTATTGCGTCTGATTTAGTGTTTAAATAAATAGGCCTACTGCTATGCTCTGGTTTCTTTATTAACAGAATTATAAGGCCAGGCACAAATAATGGCCTATTTCTCGTTGTCCCACTCTCATTTTTTTTTGTAAGAAACAACCTTTATTCTTAATAATAACACAGTAACTTCGAGGTTGATATTATTCTTAAATACAATAATACAATGTTCGATTGGTATTTAACGACTGACATTATGAAGCAAAACATGTTAACAGGGCAATTAATGTGTAGTGAACAGTAACAGCGAATATTTTTTATCAATGAGATCACCATGGTTCCCACAATTTGCAATTCAACACTCGAACAGATAGTTGAATCACAATAGACATTGAAAACACAAATCTTTCTCAAACTTGTCTTACAACACATTTAAAAACATCCGTCTTTTGTGTGATGTCGTAAATTCAAACTAATTGATCTCTCCAAACCTCGATAATGTGTTTTCTGTCCTTGATTTACAGTCATTGTTGAAATGACCATACACATACATCAATATAATTGCTACCTATTGCGTAGCTAAGCAATAAGTAGGTATTTCGTATTATTTCCTTCAAGATTTTTTTCTTAAAATTTGCAACTCCCGTTTAAAGCAGTTGTCCATTAGCTTAATAATCGATAAACTTAATCAGACTTCTCTGAGATTACAAATTCAATCATCCAGATTATAAACATAAATTCATATTTTGTATACTGAAATCATGGAGTGCCTCAATATACTTCATCTCTGCAATTATTCTTCTAAATCGACTTCAATCACTTTTCATAATATACTAAGAGGCCTACATATTTCGCAAAGAAAAAAAAACCAAAAAAACAATTATATGTATTTCCACTACTTTTTGGTTTAGCTTTAATAAAAGGCGGTTGTTTTCCTAAACCACGCCATTTTTTCATAGGCCGTCAATGGCTTTTCACCACCCAACTTAACAAACTTCCACAAAGGGGCCGATGATTAAAAAAAGACGGGCATTAATGAAACCGGTGCAATTTTCGAGCACTAAGTTGCAACATAAAATATGCTTGGATGTCCATTGTTTCGGTTCCTGCAGTGTGAAAACCCAACATAAAGTGAGGTATTTTCTAAGTAAATAGGACAAAATGCCCATACTTACGAGGTTAAACACTAAACTGGTAAAGGCAACAGTAGGATGGCGGGCTTCCAGTGAAAGAAACCGTCAGAGTTGTATTTAGCAATTCCAAATTTAAATATGTATAGGCCTATATGATTCACCGAAAAAAATATAAACCTGTTTGCTTCATTACTTCACTTTTATTCCACTACGTGTATATATATATATATATATATATATATATATATATATATCTGTCTCTTATACACTTCAAAGTAGTCACCTTGTGAAGAATGTTATTTCTGTTCTGCTTACTTATTTTATATATATTGAAGCATACGTGGATTGGATATCTTTTGATCATCACCAACATGTTATATATATATATATATATATATACTCCTTTAAACACAAAACTGTGTCGAGCTTTGTGTTTAAATTCTTTACACTGCTTTTACTATGCTAACCCATTGCTATTTCCTTCTGCCTACAGATAACCTTTGTTATAACAAAAATAAATAAATAAAGCATAAAACTTACGTACGGAAAATCTGCATATGTTAGAATTGATTTATGAAATGACGTCACACATTATGGCTAGAAAATCCAAAAATATATAACATATTGTGATGAAAATTAGCTTGAACTAAACACGTCGAGAACAAAAATATGATTATTGATTATAAGGAGATAAAAGAATGAATTTGAGAGGTTGTCATAATAGATAAACAAATCGACCGCATAGATTAATATAAATACCTAAGAGGTTTTCAACGACAACTTGGAACGGCCATTGGGATTTTGTGATAGTAAAACTTTTGGAGACAGGCATAAATGTAATGAGTGAAGATCGATCGTCTAGTTGGGGTTGGGGGTGTGGCATTAATTATGATTGGTGAAAATTAGCATTCTGCTGTGGAATTATAGTTTACAAAGAATACCGTAGAACTCGAATTGAAGCCCAGTGGGCTTAATCTCGAATTAAAGTCCCCTATTTAGTTTGCAAAATTAGCCTCGAACCGAAAAGAAGCCCATGGGCTTCTTTTCAAGATAGCATAGGCTTCTTTTCAAGATAGCATAGGCTTCTTTTCGAGATAGTACAGTACATACACTGTACATGAATGTCAGAAAACAAAATATATTAAATACAAGTTTGGTTTATACAGTAGTTTAGGTGATGCCAATTAAATAAACTCCATGATACAGATTGATGTTACAGTGGCCTTATTTATTGTTCTATAGTACAAATTCACAAAATTTACAGCATTCATTTTAAAAAGATTCCCCCTCTTTACTTTTGTAAAAGTAGTCTTGAAAAGAAGCCCACCTCGAAAAGAATCCATCCACAGTTCGCAAGAAAAAAGAAAGGAAAAAAAAGAAGCCCAGATCTTTAATGCGAGGTTTTATGGTAGCTGAAAAGTGATGTTTTAGAATTAGATTATAAACAAGATGATTCAATGATTCCTGATAATTCATTTCTACTGGTAGTCAATTTTAATAATACAAACGTTCATGTTCTCGCATTATTTATTGATGTCTCAAAAGTGTTTACATTGACTTATTTTGAAACAGAAAAGAATCTAAGATACACGTCTGCACACAAATCCCCATTAGCCTTCACTCACACATACACACACTTTGGTAAGTTTTTCTTCACACTTCACAGTCAAAATATTTGTAAAATTATATATATATATATATATATATATATATATATATATACATTATGTGTGTGTATATATACATTCATAGGCCTTATACCCTGTCTCTTATACACATCTAGATGTGTATAAGAGACAGTATTAATAACGTTAATAGGTCTCTTATACACATCTAGATGTGTATAAGAGACAGTATATATATATATTGACGAGGCCTGTATGTGTTCTTTTTTTAATATATATTTTAATTGTTTATATGCTACTATGCTGCCTACGTCACTTATTAAACAACGCCCTTTGTACATTTTATGGGACCTTATGAGTAAGAGAACAATCACAAGACTTTTAGCTTCGTTGTATCGACTTACAGTCGTGTACTTTTAATGAGCTTATCAAGCTGTTATACATTGATATTAAAGATGTCAATTATATAACACAATTTATGCAAATGGCAGTAATAATTATTTTTCACCTACACACAGCTATGAGCATACCCTACATAGGCGACGCATAGGCTAATGCGATATCAATAATGTAATATAACTATAAGGCCATTGTAATGAACACACAAATGTTTTTTATTTATGGACAGCCTCGAGAAAGATATAAAAAAATGTTTATCGTCCGCTCATCGTCGTAAGGAACATTGCAACACAAGTAATCGTGATTTTTCATAAACCTCATTAAGGTGCGTCAAATCAACTCATACCTTTTTTCATTTACTTTAATGCGAATTCAATTCGGGTGAAAAACCCACAGTGACACTGCCGTCGTACTAACCGAAACGAAGAAGGGAAAAAATTTAATCGCACTAATGACCGTGTGGCTAGATAAAGTGGCATTGTTTGTTACGACGGCAGCACGAGAACACCACGTATGTACATACGCTCTATCGTTATATTAATTTTATTGAATTTGATATACAGGCGACTAGCAGCCAATCCTCAGTTGCAATACCAAACGCTCCTTGTTCAGTTGACGCAGATATTCAGAAATGCAGGAAGGCTGTCGAATACTTCTTGTTCTCTTTGCATTGTTTGCTGTTTCCACGGCATGCTACTGGAGGAAATGCCCCATAGGAGGAAAAAGAACATCATCTTTTAGGCCGTTACGACAGGTAAGCAAGGCGTGAAAATATTGAGTTCTGTTCAAGGATATTCTAGTTTGCAATTATTTCACGTAGACCTACTACTGGAACTTTTTTAACTTCCAATCATCTAGCTCTGCTTACGAATAATTTCAAATTATCAGATGTTTTTTTATTATTTAATGCAACAATCTATTTTAGACCCAGGTCTAAAGTACTATTTAATTACCGGTACTTGGAAATAAATTTTTCACTATTTCTTAGCTAATGTTATAGAAACTTCAGGTACTTGACCCGATTCTCATAAAACTGGGAGGAAATTTGAGCATGGAATATGTACACATACCATTCCACATTATTGTATTTCTTCTTTCAATAATGTAGGCTTCATTCACAGGGCGTTAAGTTGAAATCATATATATCTCCAGAATTGTTTTCATAACTAAAAACAACTCCCCCACTCTCTAAGCCTTATAATAAAATATCTAATAGATCATCACATAGGCCTGGCTAAATAATATTTATATTTTGCATTTTTTTACTTTTTAGTAAACTTAAAGCCAAGTAAATTAAAGCACATATTTTTTAGGCCATTTTAAAGAGAACGATGCAATTTATTCAGTGGCGGAAAGAAACATTTTGCCTTGGGACGTGAGAGGTAAATAAGAAGGATGTGACGTGGTCCAAAAGTTGAGTTGATGTAAAGGTCCAGAATGTTATGTTATGCGATCAGGAAACCCAGGATTTTTGGCCATTATAATCTTGTATCTAAATGATCTAAAAAATGATTAGAGATTTTTGACTCATATCAGGGAGAGGGTGTGGGTGGGTCAGAGCGTGCGCCCACTTTGACACCCACTGTTGTGTATCCGTCACTCTTACAACCACTTAATCATACAAAAAGTCGTACATGGCCTTGGTTATGCCAAAACAAGGATACTGAAGCGGTAAGGCGCAGTGGTTGTGGGTCATATTCCCAACCTGAAGTTGGAGTTCGAATCCCTCACTATGATTTCTTTTAATCCTTGGGCAAGGTATTAATACGTTAAATAATACCGCAAACGCACTGTATCAATTCGTAAATGTATGCGCATATGAATTGTTAAATATTGATTATATATAGGGCCTATATA